TGTGTGTGTGTGTGTGTGTGTGTGTGTGTGTGTGTGTGTGTGTGTGTGTATTCTCTAGAGAGACTTACAGGCTGTGGTCTGGCTAGTCCAACAATGGCTATCTTTCAATGGATAGTCCAAGAATCCAATCTTGTTCAGTCCATCAGGTTGGATGTCTCAGCTGTTCTTCAACATACATCAGAATCCCCCAAAAGTAGGCTCTAATACCAGTGAAGGAATGCCTCAGTGACAAGATAGATTAACTCGCCAGCAAGAGGGAAGATAAGCAGGCAAAAGCTTTCTTCTTCTGTATCCTTTGTATAGGCTGCCACCAGAAGGTGTGGCCCCAAATGATACCATCAAGAAGAAGCGGGTGTGCCCAGCTGCTTGGGTTTTACTTAATTCCAGATGTAATCAAGTTGGGCTACATAATGTTCCAAAGATGGCCTGGGTTAGAGAGTGAGACTTTGTGTTGCACATACACACACATATGCTTGCACACACACAAACACATACACGAGAGGAGGAGGGAGAGAGGGATGGAAAGAGAGGGGTGGCTCAGCTGATAGGATGCTTGCCTAGCATGAATAAAGCTTGTGCTTGATCTCCAGCAGTACATATACCAAGCATGGGAGTGAACTCCTGTAACCCCAGCACTTGAGAGGTGGAGGCAGGAGGTCATCCTCTGCTGCAAAGCCTGTTCTAGGGCAGCCTGGGCAAGCATAGAGCTATGCTGTACAGGGGAGGCCTATGAATGGGAAGTGAATGATTGCAAGCAACACAGAATATGACCTAATTCTGATAGTAACATCAAATGTTCTCAAGCTATGCCTGTGGTGCCTTGGAGGGCAGTGTCAGGTACTGGGTTGTATATTAAAATCTCATTTGGAAATGAAGTGCAAGCTACAAACAGGTCCAAATTAATACTATGGTTGAGGATGGACCAGTCAAAGTAGGTAAGTTACAGTGAGTTCATAGTGACTCTGACTTTGAAGTGATTTGCAAAGGGAGGTCTTCCCTCCTGACTGCCCTTGTAGCTGAAGTTTTCCTGGTCCTGCCTGGCTCCCGCAGCCCAGTGGCCCCTTGGACCCAAGTAAACACACAGAGGCTTATATTAATTAAAACTGCTCTGCCATTAACTCAGGCTAACTATTGACTAGCTCTTACACTTAAATTAACCCATAATTCTTATTTATGTTTAGCCATGTGGCTTGGTACCTTTTCTCAGTTCTGCCTTCACATCTGGCTTCCTCTGTGTCTGGCTGGTGACTCCTGACCCAGCCTTCCTGTTTCCAGAATTCTCCTTTCTGCTTATCCAGCCCATACTATACTTCCTGTGTGGCTACTGGCCAATCAGCATTTTATTTATCAACCAATCAGAGCAACACATTCACAGCATACAGAAAGGCATCTCCAGCATGCCTTTTTTCTTCTGGCTTCAAGTAATTTTCAGAGTTTATCCTTCCCTGGGATAAAGGTTGTACCTCAATGCATGCAAAATTAATTTTAAAAAGTCAACTCAGTTTCCAGAAATCTAACAAGTCTTCATTCTTACTCTGTTACCAATAAGCTACCCTTGGACAAAAGCAGTTCAAGGGAAGGAGGTTTACTCTGGCCCACAGTTCAAGGATACGGTCCATCACGATGACAGGAGAGTTGAATCGAGAGAGTCGGCAGAGGGCCATGGACGTCTGAGCTCTGCTGGCTTTTCCCTTTTCTATCGTTTAAGACCAAGCCCAAGTGATGGCACCTCCTACTTTAGTGTGGGTCTTATTACCCCATTTAACCCAGCCAGCAGAGTCCCTCACAGTGTGCCTGGAGGCTTGCCTCGTAGGTGGCTCCAGAGCTGTCAGGTTGACAGTTGACCCTGACTGTCACACGGGGGCCTGATAGTGGGCGTTTTCTGATGTCCTGGCTTGTGATAGCTAATGTTTAGTTTTCTGTTCCTTTTTTTAAATTGTGTGTGAGTGTGCATGCACACACGTGTACATACAGGTGCTCTTGGAGGATAGAGCCATCAGATCTTCTGCAGTAAGGTGGACGGACGGTGGTTGTGGGTTTCCGGACACAATTGTGTGATGGAAACTGAACTCTGGTCCTCTTGGAAACAATATCCACTCGTAACTGCCGAGCTGTCTCTCTAGCCCCAAGGGTTCTCTGTTGCCTTTCTGGCCTTTGGCCCACAGTATACAGAACGTTACTGCTGGCTCTTCACTGCGCTGGTACCCAGCCCACTGTTCCCCGATTCCAAAATCATCAAAAGCAGCAAAACAAATCAACAAAAACCTTCGTGGTCTGTCACAGCGGTGTAAATAATTCAGGGAAAGCTTAGCCATGTAAGTCGTGCCGATGCCTGTGCAGATTCTCCTCCTTTGCCGTCTCTTTTTCCCGGCGCAGCACTGTCCAGACTTCCCATGAGCACTGATGAAACATGCGGGGACAGTAAGTTGCCCCAAAGGTACCTACATTTAGGCTGGAAATACATGATTAGCTTGGGCTTTTGTTACTCAGTAAAGCTATCTACTGTAATGATTGCTATTACATCAAGGTAAACCCTTCTGTTTCTTCTCTCCAGGACTTCCCCCAAGGTTCCTTTTAAAAAAAGATTGATGAGTGAGCTTGCCTACATATGTGTATCGATACCACATGTTGTATGTGCCTGGTAACCGGAGAGGCCAGAAGAGGGCATCAAATCCTCTGCAACAGGCATTATAAACAGTCGTTAGCCACCATCTAGGTCTAAGACCTGAGCTAGGGTCCTGTGCAGTAGCCATAAGTGCTCTTAATGGCTGGGCCATCTCTCCAGGCTCCTCCACTCCCTACCAGTCTTATTAGGACAAAGTTCCTATTAGCTTCCTTCTTTTAAAAAAGTTACATTTGTTTATCTGTGGGCCTGGCAGGGGTGGCGGAGTGGGGAGCATCCATGTAAGTCGGAGGACAACTTTTGGGAGCAGGTTCTCTTCCTCCCCTGTGATGGGCCTGGGGATTGGTGGCAAGCACCTTTACCACCCAGCCGTCTGTCTCTCCATCCCTTGCTTTGTCTTTGCATCATTCCTTAGTAATCATCGTTACCTCTTCTAGAAATTGTCGGTCATTTACCCTGTGACCCTACCCAGAAATCTCTCCTCTACTTGCCTCCAGTTCTTACAGTCCCTGGGTCTGTTTGGCTTTCTCCATCCCCCTTCTCACTTGTCCGTTTTCAGAGGTGTGCTCCATGACCCCTCTTGGCCCCTTTCTCCTTCTTGAACCCGTCTTTTTTTAAGACAGAAGAACGGAAGTAGGAGGTAGTTGAGAAAGTGGTCTGTGGAGGGGGAGGGGGTGGGCTGGCTGCTCATTATGCACGATCGGAGATGACTAGACTTTGCAGCTGTGTATTTATAAAACTTCAATGAAAGTGATTCAGTTTATAGCTTATTTCATATTTTATTACATTAGTGTGTGTGTGTGTGTGTGTGTGTGTGTGTGTGTGTGTGTGTTTACACACTTACCACTGCACACATGTGGAGATCAGAGGGACAGCCTGTAGCTTTGGGAGTCTTCTGCCAGAGTTCCAGGGATCTAACTCATCAGGCATGGTAGCAAGTGCTTTTGCCCACTAGCCATCTTGCCGTCTCCTGTTTGTACCTCTTCGTGATTCCAGATGGTCTCATAAGAAACCACTAAGACATCCTGGATCCCCCACCAAGACCCCCACAGGCCCTGTTGCCTGGGTGATTTCAGCACAACCTTAGCTGGGCAGCCTGTGCCCATGCCACCCCTGCTCCAAAGCAGACTGCTGACCAGGGCCTCAGTCATCATGTTCGACTTTCCCTGTGTAGATTTTGGTTCTGAGCAGGACATTGTAGATGCCCTGGCTGGGTGAGCCTGGCTGCCCAGAACTGCCTTGCTTACACTGAGGAGGGCTGGACCACCTGAAAAGAGCTGAGTTCATTGCCTGCTTTGGGTTTTCCCACAGCAATCTGAGCTGTCCGCTGAAGAAAGTCCAGAAAAGTTAGGAACCTCCCAGCTGCATCAGCGGAAGGTCATTTCCTTGAATAAGCAGATTCTGCAGAAGACCAAACAGCTACAAGAGGTGAGTGTTTTTATAATTGCACTCGGCTAATGAAACTTCTTGCAAGAGGGGAGAAGTTGGGAAGATGAATGAATGAATGACCTTTGGACTGCTCAAAGGGGGCTCTAGCTCAGACATGCTGCAGCCTTCATCCAGGCTAGCTGCATGTGTTTTTGTAAGCAAAGTGTAGGTGGGTAATGTGTGCAGGTATGTGGGGGTACTTGTGTGCAAGTGTGCATATGTGTGCCTGATGGGCATGCAGGAGCCAGAGGCTATTGTTGGGTGCTTTTCTTACTCACTGTCCACTTAGTTTACTGAGGTAAGGTCTCTCAACCAGTTTGACTTGTCTAGGGAACTAAGTTGCCAGGGATATCCCTTGTCTCTGCCTCCTAAGCACTGGAGTTGGAGGCAAGCTGCCACTCATCTAGATTTTCATATGGATTCCGCAGATCCAGTCGTCAGTCTTCAGGTGTGTGTGTGTGTGTGTGTGTGTGTGTGTGCGCGCGCGCGCGCGCGCGTGCGTGCATGTAAAATATACAGGACCAGAATGGTGTTTCTTCATAAATACATAGTACTGTGTGTGCTAAGTGACAGCTGACCTATAGGGGTGAATGAAGACAGGGTGAGGGCCCTGTCCGCAAGGACCCTAAGGTGTAATGGAGACCTGCAGTAAGTGAAATATCCATCACATGCACTGTTTAGTTACCAGTGTGATAAGGGCTTCAATGGGGAAGTCTGGGGAGCTGGCTGAGTCTGGAAAGATGAATGAGCAGTGATTGAATGGGGGGTCTGCATGGAGATGTTGAGGAGCCAGGTGGAGACTTACAGAGCAACATAAGCAAAGATAAAGGGAGGAAGAGTTGGCCAGCTCCTTCCTGTCTGATGGTTGAGGCGTCTTGAGTGAGGTGTGCAGTGGCCAGGCTGATGACAGAGCACTTTCCTGGTCCATGTTAGGTCTGTGGCAGCCACAGAGGATTGCAGCAAGGCAGTGACATGCTGTTGCCTGTCATTGTGTATGATGTGGGATGTGGGCAGGGTCAGAGAGCCTCAGACTTTAGGAGGCAGGTATGGTAGGTTCTGGTGATGGTAGGGAGTGGGAGAAATAAACCATTGTTTCCCATTTATTTCTGAAGGCAAGGCACATATGTCATGGAAGTCAGTAGACAATTTGCTGGGGTTAGTTCTTCCATTCTACCAAATGGGTCCTGGGGATGAAACATGGGTTAACTCCCTAGCACCAGAATAAGTAAATATAGAACTGTTTAAAAACAAAGAAAAATGAAAGTTCTGCAGATTAATCAGTTTCAGCCTTTCTGGGCTTCTTCCTCCTCATTGTGAAAGAGGGAACCCATCGATGTCTGGACCGAGAAAAGGAGTCCATTCAAGCAAATGTCCTCTTTCTCACTCACAGCTGCAAGGGAATCATACCAGCCTCCAAGCCAAGTACAGTGACATGAAGAAGACACTGGCGGAGGTAAGTGGGTCTGCCCCTCCTTTCCTGTGACCTCGGGGCGCACAGTCACCTCTCCCAGGTCACATAGAGCAGTGCAGATAGACAGATGGCGTGGTGAAGCAGCACCATGAAACCTCCCTTCTCTGAGGACAGAGCCTTCCCTCCACGCCGGCTGACGAGAGCCCCATTCCCCCAGCAGCACTGGTCAGACGTGACCGCGCTGGGCCCTCTCAGGACGCAGACCTAAGCTTTGTGTCTGCGAAGCCTGCCCTTCCAGGGTCGACTAATGTGATGAAATAGACTGCTTTCTCCATGAAGTGAAGCCGGCATGGAAGGTGACGGACGGGTGGAGACAGCCGTGGAGCCACCCCAGGAAAGCCAGGACACTAACTGGCTGCCGCATCAGTGGCATGGGCCACCAGCTCTAATCTGTCCGTATCGCAATCCGACCAGTCACAATTCTGATTCCCTGGCTGGAAGCCCAGTTCCTTTTCCATGAGCACTGTCTTCCCGGGTCCCTATGGGGACTCTCTGGATCCAAAGTGTCTCTTGCTCTACAGCTGTTTCTTTAGTCTGGCTGCATTTAGAAGCTGACACACCACTTTTTTTCCTGTCTTCGGGTGTTTGAGGACTCTTGGTTATATGCTCATCTGGTTTAAGGTTTCCTTTCTCCACCTCTCAATACTGTGTGCGCGCTACAGCTCCTTGACTTGTTACTGTGGCAAAACCCCTGACAGGAAGCAGCTTAAAGAGGGAGGGCTCTAGCGTGGCTCACAGTTGAAGGATGCCGTCCTTCACGGTGGAGGAGGCAGCTGGAACTCGAAGCAACTGTTCACAGCATGCCCAGTCCAGAAGCAGAGCCATGAACACTGGTGCTCAGCTCGTGGCCTCCTCTCTCTGCAGCGTAGGACACCAGTCCCGGGGATGGATGGTGTCTCCCACTTGTAGGGTGGGCCTCCCCAGTCAGTGAACCTAGTGAAGAGAAATCACAGGCTGGCCCAGAGGCTGGCCTAACCGGGCTGGTCCCTCATACACGCCCAGAGCTCGTCTCATGGGTGATTCTAGGTCCTCTCGAGTTGACAGTATTAACTGCCTCGGCAGCTGGCTTCCACTGTTCCTCTGGGAGGGCGCTGCCTTCTGTGTGGTAAATCAGCTGATGGCAGCAGATGCCCAGAGCTGAGGAACTTCCCAGTCTCTTTGCTGTTGCCAGCCATCTGGAGCCCTCAGATGCTTTCCTGTGTGACCGAGTCGGGCTCCATTGCTTTGTCGGCCTCGCTCTTCTGATACAGGCCTCAGCCCTACAAGCCAATCTCCCCACCTACGCTGGCTAGTTCTCCATAGCTGTCTGCCATCTGTTCCCATCTGCCAGCCCTCGGTCTTGTCCCATGAGTTAGCCTACTTTCCTGGTCCAGCGTCATAGCCTGGGTTAGTTCAAGACTGGAGGTGAGAAGGTCCTATGTGACACCTAGGAACTTTGGAAACTTGTTGTTTTTTTTTTAATGGGGTACATATTCACATGGTTCAAAAATTTACAAAACCAAAAAGTAAACTCCTGTAACCCACCATCTGTTCGCCCATTCCAGGGTGGTGAGTTACAGCCAGGACCTTTTCAGTCTTTTAAGGACTGTGTTATGATTCCATAGCAATTATATCCTATATACTGGTGGACATTTCCTCTAAGAAATGTCTATATGTATTTATTTAGTGTGTGTATGGGCCTGGGCCGTTAAGCACGCCACAGTGCCTGTGTGGGGGTCGGAGGGCAACTTGTGGAAGTTGGTTCTCTTCCACCATGCGGATTCCAGGGACTGAACTCAGATTATCAGGCGTGGAGGCAAGTGCCATAGTGAGCCATCTCATGAGCCCACATGTACATATTTCTTTCTATGCTTTGGGAGTTTGCCGTGTTCATGATTTTAGACCTTGTTTTCTAGATCATTGTAAAAGATATACTTTAAACAAACAGTAGATGGGGTGGGGAGGGGACTCGGTGGGTGACGTGCTTGCGGCATGAGCGTGAGGCCCCGTGTTCAGAACCTGATCATCCACGTAAGAGCCTGGCGTAGGGGTGGTACTTGTAACCCCAGCACTGGGACACCAAGACAGGGGGATCCCTGTGGCTCACTGGCCAAGTAGGCCAGCAACACCTTGACTTTCAATTTCAGTGACAAATCAGGTCTCAGAAAATAAAGTTGGAGAAGCAAAAATTGAGGGAGACTTCTGGACTCCACCTGCACTTCACACGCTAGCAAGTGCACGCTCACATAACAGACGGGAAAGGATATCGCTGTGCATTAAAATCTGCAGGTTCTTAAAGATGTTTCCATTTGCTACATCCAAAGAAGGTAGAACCATTGGCCTTAGTTAGAGTTTCTATTGCCGCAACGAAATACCATAACCAAAGTGCAAGTTGGGGAGGAAAGGGTTTATTTGGCTCACACTTCCATATTCTTGTTCATCACTAAAGGAAGTCAGGACAGGCACTCAAACAGTGCAGGATCCTGGAGGCAGGAGCTGATCCATAGGCCATGGAGGGTTGCTGCTTACTGGCTTGCTTCCCATGACTTGCTCAGCCTGCTTTCTTCTAGAATCCAGGACCAGCAGCAGCCCAGGGAGGCCCCACCCACCATGGGCTGGGCCCTCCCCCATTGATCACTGATCGAGAACATGCCTTACAGCTGGATCTCATGCAGGCATTTTCTAAATTGAGGCCTTTCAGATGATTCTAGTATGTGTCAAGTTGACATAAAACCAGAAATAACACCGTTCAAGAGGCTGGGAAGATTTAGCCCTGCTGTGACAGTGGTATTCTGATAGTTCTTCTCTTGCTTTCCCTCCCTGTCTGTCTCTCTCTCTGTCACTTTTTACCCCCGCCCACTTTCCTACTCCAAGGCCATTGCTCTCAGCATTGCCTGGGCTTTCCCGCCTCTTTCTGCGGCACTCTGAAGTCATTGTCCGCGTTTCCACAGCCAGTGCACCATTGAGCAGGTTCTGACCTCCCTGCCGCCTCTCCCCCTCCATCCCATCTGTCTGGCACACTTCTTTTCTCAGTGTACAACCAAAGCCAATGGGCTCGGTCATCTATCCCAAATGAGGCAGCAATTGGGGGGGTGGGGGTCGTGGGGCACACGTTTCTATTTTCTTTTCAGTCTCTGTAGCCAGTGACGCCTCTGCTCTGTCTTGCAGCTGAAGAATCATGGTGAGAAACTAGACAAAGAACAGGCAGCCCTGGAGAAATTAGAAGCCAAAGCTGACCCGAGGTAAGGGGTTTCGGCATGTGCTATTATCCCTTTGAGGAAACTGGCCACAGTGTCTGCGGCTTGATTTGTCTGATCAAGGGACAGACCAGCCAGAGGTCATGGGCTGGGGCTCCATTTCCATTCAGGTATTGTCACAGGAGCATCTGGAAGGGACCAGCAGTCCCCCTGATGCTCACTGAGATTCTTGGACCGCACCGGGTCACCCACCTTCCTGTCAGCTCTTCTTGTGACCCGAGCAGTGGTGTGCTGGTTTGAAAAACCATGAACCAGGGCTGCAGGCCTAGAGGGTAAAGTGCTTGCTTTTTAAGCATGAGAACCTAAGTCTGATGTCCTAGATCCAACCTGAAAAGGCTGGGCATGGTGTAATCCACATGCTTGTAATCCTAGAGCCAGGGAGGCGGAGACACGGCCCCTGGCACTTGCTAGCCAGCCAGGCTGAACTGCTTGGCAGGTCTCGGGCCAGTGAGAACTTGCCTCAAACACAGGGAGGAACAAGCTGCTGAGTTAGCTGTGTGGGGTAAAGTGCCGACTGTGAAGCCAGATGACCTGAGTTCAGTTCCAGGAACCCAGGGAGGAGAAGGAGAGAACTGACTCCCACAGGCTGTCTGTCCTCTGACCTCCACCCGCTGCACAAGTACACTCACTCACACATACTAAATAAACAAGTAAATGTAATGAAACCTGTTTTAACTGAGAGGGGCCAGCACCTGACGAACAACGTTTGAGACTGCCCTCTAGCCTCCACATGGGTGTGAACACAAATGCACGCACACACACACATACACACACACACACACTGTTACTGATGTTGTTTACCCTGAGCGCCACTGAGTAAATGATGAATGAATACCACTGAAGCTCATGATGTTTCCAAAGTTGACCTTCACATTCTAGAATCCTGTCCTGGGTGGTTTTTTTGTCTCCTCGTGGACTTGAAGGTCCAAATGCATAATCAGGAATGGAAATGACAACAGTTTGTGGCACTCTCGTTACACCCATGGGGAAAACAAAGGGGATTAAGCAGGAGCTCCTTGTATTCTGGATGTGGCTTTACCCTCGATTTGTAAAATGAAATGGTAATGGCCTGCCCTGGGCCGTTGGTCTTTCCTCCTCAGCATTCTGCAGAGCCTGAGAGCACTGGTAGCCATGAATGAAAATCTGAAAAGCCAGGAGCAGGAGTTTAAAGCACACTGCCGGGTAAGTGCCGTGGCGTTGGTGGACAGGCAGGAGCTCGCTGGGGTCCTGGTCCCCCATACACACACACCCCACCCCCCCACCCCTACCCCCACCCCCGTGCTGCTGGGCCTGCTAGCCCGTGCAGTGCAGTGTAAGAAGCTGACTCGGGCTGAGTAAGTGCCTTCTGCTCCCGCAAGCCTGGGAGAGCTCTTTCCCAGGAAGGGACGAGCTTGCCGGTGGACGCAGAGCACCTGGTTCCCTGGTGGCTTTTGTCCTGGCACAAACCAGTGAAAGTAGAGATGAAATGTCTCCATTGAATAGTTAAACTGGGCAGGCAAGGTGGCTCAGCGGATGACGGTGCTTGCCACCAAGCCTGACAGCCTGAGCTTAGTCCCTGGGGCGCACGTGGTGGAAAGAAACAGAAAATGACTCCGTAGGTTGCCCCTGACCGCTACACGTATGCCGTGGTGCACATAGGAGCATGAGCGCACACATGCAAATACACACCGGACGCGTGCGTGTGCCCGCACACATGCACACAAGCACAGATGGAAAAACAAAACCATGTGGGAAGACGTTAACGGTTACCTCCGGTTGGTAGCTTAACTGAGCTTTGTAAAGGTTCGTTCACCTTGCTTTTCCAGGAGGAGATGGCTCGGCTACAGCAGGAAATTGAGACCCTGAAAGCTGAGAGAACACCAGGCGAGAAGGTAAAGGCTTCAGTTAGTCCCCAGGGCCATCAGCTGCTTTCCGGCTGGTATGTGGACAGATTGCAGCGGCTCAGGCCGTGACTCTTTCTAGGGAGACGTGAAGAAGTTTCCATTCGCTCCAGACAGGAAGGGCGCTGACGGGCAGAAGGAAGCCTTCTAAGTCCAGTTTGGTGAACCCAAAGTATGATTATTAGGGTTGGTTACAGGGTTTGGGTGTCACAGGGGCTCCACAAGGGGAGTCCCTGGCAACTTGAGGCCAGCAGCACCTCAGAGAGACCCGCAGCTTACCTGTCACGTCTTGAGGAGGGGAAGGCTCTCAGGAGCCTCTCGGTCCTACATGACGGGCTGTTAAAAGGCCTGATGGTGTGAGGGTCTTCTGCTGCTCATCCCAGCTACTGTGTTTAAAGATGGCAGCAGCTACATCCAGCCTGGGCTACACAGCCACGCTCTTGGCACCAACCATTAGTCATGTTCCACTTTCTTGAGCCGGGCCTGTAATGCGCACTTCCCAGGGTTGGTGAGGTGGCTCGCTGGGTGAGAACACTTCCCAGCATGCACACGGTGACTCGCAACCTTCTGTATTCCAGTTCTAGGGGATCTGACGATCGCTTCCAGCCCCCGTGGTACTAGGTGGTGCACAGGCATACAGTGCAGGCGAAACACTCATGAACATAAAATAAAAATAATTATTTCCTTAAATAAAAAGGCCAAACATGGCTGCAAGAGCCTATAACCCCATCACTAGTCGGTAGAGGCAGGAGGATTGCTGGGGCTTTCTGAGCACCAGCCTACATCTGCATTCAGGGAATAAGGCAGAGACATAGAGCAGAACACTGGGCACCATCCTCCAGCCTCTGCACACGCGTGTACCTTGACACACACCGCACTGTGCACATGCGTGTACCTTGACACACCTCACTCCACCCACATTGTATTTCTCAACTTTCTCCTGTGCTTTTCTTGGATTGTTTTTGTTTTTGTTTTTGTTTTTGTTTTAAAACAGAGTTTCTCTGTGTAACAGTCCTGGCCGTCCTGGGACTCGCTCTGTAGAACAGGCTCGCCCTGAACTCAGAGATCCACCTGTCTCTGCCTCCCAAGTACTGGGACAAAAGGCGTAGACCATCATGCCCAGTGATTTTCTTGGATCTTATCCAAGTGATTCCTTCTAGATTTGGAAGGAGCAGCCACAGGCCCAAAACTCTGACCCCTCCCTCCATAGGAAATGTCTGAGCTGTTTCCCACCTAGCCTGTCTTTTAAGTTTTTTCCACTTTAACCTGAGTAGCTGGGATTACAGGCCTGAGGCACCAGACCCTGTGGATCTCTTGGATTTTGTTTTCCCTTACCACACTTCATTCAAAGCTTGCCTCCTCCCCAGATGTGGGTGGTCATGGCCGTGGAGCCCACTCACTGAGCCTGCCCTGTACTTGCAGCAGGGGGATGGGCAGGTCCCAGCTCCCAGCACTGATGTTCTCCAGGTACCCCACCACTATACCCAGCGCTCTCCAGTGGACACGAGGCCGGCCATGGGAACTGCTGCCCCTAGCCAGAGAGCCAGGCCTCAGAGCTGCTGTGTCACCTCAGTGGGAGATGCCCCCCTCTGTGAGGGAGAGGAGGAATGCAGCCCAGGCTGCCCTCGGGCGGGCGCTTCTCCAGCACTGAGCCTTTGAGGCATCTTCACTTCCACTGGCCTCTGAATCAGCAGCGATCACGTTTGTCTCATCACTTCCTACCAAAGGCGTTCTTCTATTGAGAATGAACTGCAAGGGGCCGGGGAGCTGCCTCAGAGGGGAAACTGCCTGAGTTTGGATTCCAGCCCCCATGTAGAAGCCAGGCAGTGAGGAGACGGTCACGGAGACGGTCACAGAAGGAAGCTCACTGGCCAAGCAGTCTAGCCAGACTGGCTGAGTTCCAGGTTCAGTGAAGTGCTCACCATCAAGACTGATGAGCTCACTTTGATCCCTGGGCCCCACATAGTAGAGGGAAAGAACAGCAAGGTGTACACACACACACACACACACACACACACGCACGCACGCACGCACGCACGCACGCACGCACGCACGCACGCACGCATGCACTAGCACGTGAATATACACACATGTGATAGATAAATAAATATAACTTTTTTTTAATAAATAAGGTGGAGAGTGGTAGAGCAAGACACCAACATCGACCCCCACACTTCACATACACACACTCAAAAGAGCTGTGGAGACTGTACCTGGTAAACTTGGAAGAACGGTCTAAAATCTGAGTTCTCGAACCGTCTGGCCACTCTTCAGAAAAACGAGGTCCATTTCAGCCCCATAGTTGCTCCTCTCGGCTCCTGTCCGTGAAGCCTAGACACTCAGCTTCTGTCTGCACCCCTTCCTGAGCAAAGGTGCTGACCCTGTTTTCACATCCTTTCAGACTGTCTCCGATGGAGAGCCACAGGGTGCCCTGACCTCCACCATGACTCACAACGTAAGTATCGCCTCATCCTTGGGACCAGCATCATCCTGAGAGAACCTGGCAGCCTCCTTTCCATTCTCCCCGCACAGCCTTCCCGGCCTCCTGTCCAGTCTGTACAGCCACCTCCTCTCTGCTGCCTTCTGGGGACATGGTGCCATCTTAGACCTTTCATTCCTTAGATGGAAGGGGCCTGTGTCAGCCACGTGAGCTCTGAGGCCTGAGAGTGGTGCCGGGGGGACCCCTCCTCAGCTGCATGACAGCAGGCCACTGCTCTAGTTGACAAACTGTGTCAGGCCTGTCCAGCTGGCAGCTCAACACAGTTATCAACTCACTTACAATATTGAACGTGAATGTTGTAAGTGACGACTTCGTGTCACGTGTATTGTAAATGAGTGCACATGACTGTATTCCAGCCCACCTCTGTCTACAGAAATAGGCAGAGTCACACATGACTCGAAGGTATAGGCTTTCCGAGGCATGCTCTAGTTTGCTGAACCTCGTTATGAGTTAAAACAATACTCGTCACACGTAAAGAGAGAGGAAGAGGGACCTCCAAGCAGGGCCATTAGGGTGGCTCTTCATAATACATTAGGAAACTGGACATGGACTCCTGTGGTATGTTAGATGTCACCTGTAGCTGAGCCCTGTCCAAGAAACTGCATGTGCCATATGTGTTCATGTGTATGCATGCCCCTTCCTTAATTTTCTCTGAGACAACAGACTGTCCAGCTGTTTTTCCCATGTCTAGGTTCAATGTCGAGCCACACCTAACAGCATTAGCTCTGTCCCAAAAGAACTTTCTGTAATGATGAAAATGTTTGCATAAGCATCTTCCCATGCATAGTGCATGGCTATGGAAACCAGGGGACTGATTTTTTTTCTTACTTTAATTGATGCGGGTTTGAATAGACAGGTAGGGTTAGTGGTTGTCATTTTGGATAATTCAGGTCCAGGCAGAAACATAAACAGAAAAGCAGTGTTAGTTGAAAACAGGGAGACGTAGAACAAAGACTCTTAAGGTAGTGTGTTGGCTCTCTTTTGTTGTCGAGTGTTCCAGGTTCTGGGGTGGGGGGCTTCAGGAGCCCATAGGAGGCACTCAGTTAAGAACATTGATTGGACTTAGGGGCTGGTGAGTAAAGTACTTGCTTTATAAGCCTGATGACATGAGTTCAGTCCCCAGAGCCCACATAAGGGGGAAGGAGAGAACCAGCTCCCCAAAGCTGCCCTCTGACCTCCACAATCCACAGTTCAGTAATAATAAATACATTTTTTTAAAAAAGAACATTGGCTTCAGCCAGGATGCTGACAGAAGAAGAGGTTCAAGGATACAGTGTGGAAGTGTCTCGTGGGTGGGAGGCGCTAAACTTGGCCATCCGAGAGAAGGAACTCGAGGCTCAAGCTGAGAGGATATGGTTAGATGTACTCGACTTCTAAAGACTCCATCGGGGAGTGGAAGTTCCATTCTAGATAACCGTGGCCTGTTCTCGCTCTTAGGAGGACCTGGACAGACGGTACACCATGGAAAAAGAGAAGCTATACAAGATCCGCTTACTTCAGGTGGGTGGGTGTCCACGAGGCCAGTGGTGGCCAGATGTGCCTGGCTGGAATGAATGTCCTGGGACTGGACGGGGAGGGGTCGAGGTGTAGAGCGGCTGTGCTCACTGCTTCCTTTGTAGGCAGCCGTGCCATGATCTAAGGTGTGGCCGACAGCACCACAGATGTCTGCTTCCTTCAGCATTGCTATTGGAATTGAACTTCACCCTGCCTGCAGAGTAGATGTGATTAGCCTCGGGTTCTGTATGGGAAAAAGTAGGTTCAGGGCGCTAGGGAGATGGCTAAGAAGTTAAGAGCACTTACTGTTCTTGCACAGGACCCTAGTCCTGTTCCTAGAACTCACATGAGTTGCCTTCCAACCGCCTGTAACTCCAGCTCCAGGGGATCTGACCTGCTTTTCTGAACTCCACAGGTACCTACACTCATGTGCACATACCCCCACGCAAACACACACAAGTACACATCACTAAAAAGTGAAATAAGTTTAGGGGGCGCTGAAGAGATGGCTCCGCAGTTAAGAGTACTGGCTGCTCTTTCAAATGACCCAGGTTCAATTCCCAGCACCCACATGGCTGCTACAACTGTCTTTTACTCCGATGATTCTGGGGAATCCAGCACCCTCTTCTGACTTCCAAGGACACTGACTTTCATAGTATATAGGCATACATATACATACAGGCAAAACACCCACACTCATAAAATTTTATATATATATGAAACTTTTTTTAAAAAAAAATGCTTCAAGTAGGCTTTTTCTCCAAAGGCAAAGCCTCGCATAGATTCCCCAAGGCAGGAATCACGTTCATGTCTCCTTAGTAACTGGAGATCAGAGAGAGTGGTGTCACATCTGGAGCGGAGAGGTTGTAGAGCCAGCTGCAAACCTAGCCACAGTTGACACTGCATTCCTAAACGTATTATATCGCCAATGTCTGGCTCATGGAGAGTCAAACCCACAAATGGCCCTCGGCCTTGTGTTCCGCGTTAGTTTGGGACATTTTCCTTGCCTTTGGAAGGGGAAAGCCAAGCTTTGGCAGGAATGGCCAGGGGGCTTCAGGGGCCTGTGAGGGGTTATTCCCATCTTCCTGGCTCTTAACTATTCTGTGAGGTATGTGGTTAAATTCAGAGGAGTCAAGTATGTCCTTGATACAAGAGCACTATTCTAATTTTTATTTTAGTGTTTTGAGAGGGAGTCTTATAGCTCAACCTGCCTCAAACTCTATGTGTAGCCACAGCTGGCCTTGAACTTCTGATAATCCTGCCTCCATCCCCCAAGTGCTGGGATTATAGATATGCACCACCATGCATGACTACCTTTCAAATATTTAAAGACGGCTTCTCAGCCTTCAGCAAGACCAAGAGCAAATATTTAAAGATACATAAAATTAATACAATCGGGGCCCTGCTGCTGTTTGGAGAGCCTGACTGGCTACTTACTCAGCCATGCATCAGGACCCAGGAACAAGAATGGGAATGGTCTGCCTAATGGGAACTGGTTATTTGACGACCAAGAGCCACCCGTATGTGCCAAAGAACAAGGCTGTTTATGTGGGCAATGCCACTTAAACCACTGCTAAAGCGAGGCTACAGCAGAACTAGAAGAGGGCTTCAGAGAAGCCAGTAGGTTGCTGGGGGCCTGGCCTGGGTAGAGGCAGCAGGATCTGTGAATGGAGCTGGCAGGGGAAAGTGAAGTGCTGTAGCTACTGGAATTTAGTGATGACTGGATGAGATGGGGCTCAAGGGTGACGCTCAAGTGTCTGACCCAAAGGTGTGTACATGTGGAAATCATTGGGAAACGGACATCAAAGAGGGGGGACTCAAGTGGCAGTGTGAAGGAAAGTGTTAGTAAACTCCCAGCTGGGTGGGGAGTGGGGTTTGCTGGAAGTCAGCTTAGTTTAAAAAGTACTTGCCTTACGTAGTTTAAAAAATGTGTGAAGACCAGGGATCAGACCTTTGGAAGCCATGTAAATTCAGGTGGACATAGTGGCCCACCTGAAATAACACCTCAGAGGGACACAGATCCCCAGAGCAAGCTGGCTAGCAAGACTGGTCCTGTCTGAGCTCTGGGTGTGATCGAGACACGCTGCCTCCATGAATAAGGTGGAAGAATGACGGGGTGATTCCTGCCATCGACTCTAGGTCTTGATGTGCACATGTACGTATGTGTGGATGCTCGCTAAGGCTGTGGACATGTGGGCAAGACCCAGGACCAAACCCTAGTGAGCAGATAAAGCAAGAACAAGAGAGAGGGGGTGAGAGGAGCCAAGGGCTGCTCACAGAGGCTGAGCAGACAGCGTGGGTTGCCATGTCCAACTTCAATATGATAGCTTTTGCTTCATCTTACTATATTTTATTTAGTTATATTTGCTTATTATTCTGTTCTTTTTTAATGAGACACAGAAAGGGAGTAGATCTGGAGGGGAGGGGAGATGGAGAGGAACTGGGAAGAGCAGAGGAAGAAGAAATACAATCAGGATATATTATATGAGAAAAGAATATTTTTTTATTTAAGAAATTTTTTATTCATTTTACATACCAACCACAGATCCCTCTCTCATCCCTCCTCCTGCTCCCCCCAGCCTCCTTCCCCCGACCCACCCCCCTTTCCCCTCATCCAAAAGGGTAAGGGCTCCCATGGGGAGTCAGCAGAGCCTGGTACATTCAGTTGAGGCAGGGTCAACACCCCCCCACCCCCCCCACCTCCCCCCGCATCAAGGCTTCCCACCATAGATAATGGGTTCCAGAAAACCAGTTCATGTACCAGGGATAGACCCTGATCCCATTGCCAGGGACCCCTCAAACAGACCCAGCTACACAACTGTCTCCCATATGCAGGGGGTGTAGTCCAGTCCCATGCAGGCTCCACAGCTGCTGGTCTAAAGTCCGTGAGTCCCTCTGAGCTTGGTTCAGGGGTCTCTGTAGATTTCATGATCTTGACCACCCCTTCCCCCAACCCATGCCTCATATAATCTCTCTTCCCTCTCTTTGACTGGACTCCTGGAGCCTGGCCTGGTGCTTGGCTGTGGATCTCTCTGTCTGCTTCCATCAGTTACTGGATGAAGGCTCTATGATGACAGTTAGGGTATTATTCACCAATCTGATTACCAGGGTAAGCCAGTTCAGGCACCCTCTCCACTATTGCTAATAGTCTAAGCTAGGGTCGTCCTTTTGGATTCCTGGGAACTTCCCTAGCACCAGGTTTCTCGCTAACCCCATAATGTCTCCCTCTATCAAGATCTCTCTTTCATTGCTCTCCCACTGTGTCCCTCCCCCCAGCTCAACCATCCCGTTCCCTCAAGTTCTCATCCCCCACCCCCTCTCTGCTATCCCCCCCCCGCCCGCCCTCCCCTTCCCCCGCCATCCCCAGTTTACTCATGGCGATCTCATCTATTTCCCCTTCCCAGGGTGATCTATGTGTCCCTCTAAGGGTCCTCCTTATTTCCTGGCTTCTCTGGAGCTGTGGGTTGTAGTCTGGTTTCCTTTGCTTTACATCTAATATCCACTTATGAGTGAGTACATACCATATTTGTCTTTCTGAGTCTGGGTTACCTCACTCAGGATGATATTTTCTAGTTCCATCCATTTGCCTGCAGATTTCATGATGTCATTGTTTTTTACAGCTGAGTAACACTCCATTGTGTATATGTACCACATTTTCTTTATCCAAGGATGTATTTTTAATAAAAGAGAAAAAAAGAATATATACATATGGGAAGTAGTTGAGGACTGGAGGAGCTAGAAGCTCAGACTCCTCCATTCAGCATGCCCCAGAAAACTTCTGAGGTAACACCGGAGTCATGTGAGACTTCTCTCCTCTCCTAATCACTGCAGTTAGGGAACCCGGGACAGATCCAAGTAATGATCCCGCCAGAGTCCCCCTGGTGAAGCAGTGAGTCTTTATTGGGATCACTTACAGGGCTGATGGTGAGGGATGACAAGGAGCAGGGATGACTCACCAAAATCCCTCCCTCACACAAGTGACAGCAGCTGCAGCCCCAAAGCCCCTGCAGCATTTTCAGGCAGTGAGACAGGCGGGCCTCTCCTTGACACCTTTCCTGGGCATCGTGGCTGGTCCGTCTCCTCTGACAGCGGTTATTTGATGCCTCCTTGGGGAGGGGTCTAGTGAACCTTGTAAATGTCAGCTTTCTCGGAGTGTGGAGTTTGTTTACTTCCTGAGTTTCCTGAGCCCCCTACCCCAAGAAATGTTCCAACTGGGAGGAAGTCCCACTATAACATTCGGCAAGGGGAGAGAAGGCCCAGGAGCTGTGGCTTGAAGGCGGGAGGCACTAAGCACGCCTGGCTGCCAGGGTGATAAAAAGAAAAAGGCAGGAGGCTGGTGGCGGAACGGTGGTGTCGCTCAGGAAAAGACTTCTTTAAAGCGAAGGACTTGAGCAGATCTAAATGTTGAACAGCTAGTGCAACCACAGGCACCCACACACATGCAGAGCATTCTAGAAATAAGGGCGCAGTAAAAAGGTGGCGTGTGTGCTGGTGTGGGATGGCTCCTAGGGTAAAGGTGCTTGCCGCTTGCCACCACGCTTGATGAAGTGTGTGCTGTGTGCGGGTGCAGGGATGGGTTCATTTCCTCTGCCTAGTCAAGAGTTAGAGAGATGTTACTAGAAGTCCTGGGGAGTCCAACAGAGCTGTCATACAATGCTAGGGAAATCGGGGTTCTTGGTTCATTAATAAAAGAAGTAAGAACACACTCAAACAGAAGATCAAGAGCAGTTTATTAATTAGAGTTTAAAAGGCAAACCCCAGGGCAGGCAGGCTGTGAATCTCAGAGCTGCGTGGAGGGAGAATGAAGGCGAGCGTGGAGGTCAGTCACGCAGTAGGGGCGGGAGCTTTAGAAAAAGGAAAAGGCCAGCCGCATTTGTTAGCCACTTTAAAGGGATACTTAAGCTCTTGCCAGGGTTAGAAAGGCAAGGACAGAGAAAAGAGACTAGTTCCGTCCTTCTGCATCTGGACTCAGAGAGGCAGGCAGGCAGGCAGGCAGAGCCAGCCAAGCTTGATGGTGGGTCATAGGGACTGAATGGAAAATTAACTTATCATAGGGGTATTCTGGCCTGTTCCCTGCCCTGTCCCACTGGACTAACTCTTAAGGGAGGAGACAAGGGCATGTCTCCACCTAGAGGTAGATTCCATCCTTTACAACCTGAGTTCAGTCCCCAGAACCCGTGGTGGAAGGAGAGAATTTCCACAAATTGTCCCCCTGAATTCCACCCATACCGTGGCACATGCACAATAAACAAACAAACGTAATTTTTAAAGATTTTGAAGATTGAATGGCTATACCCTGACGTTCCTGAGGAGAAGCAGCATAGCACTGGCCTGCACCCCTCTACCCAAAGCTGCTAGACTGGACTTAAGATTTGGTTACAAGAGTGGGTTTCCTGCCCAGAGGCTGTGTTTCCTTGGAAATTAGAGCTCCATCCCTGCTGCTGGGACAGTCGGGCTAGAGGGTTGGTGGGGCCGGAACAGAGGAACAAAGGCTCAGGGGAAGGGCGGTGCTCAGCCCAGGTCCTGAGATTCAGACATGAGCTATGTGGGAGCTAAGTGACTTGCTTCTGTGACATGGTCTTAAGCAACTCTCTGCTGTCTCCTGTACACCTGACCAGACAGTCTCCCTGTCCAAAGGGTTTGAGAAGTCAGTTATGGGCTTCCAGGTAGACTGAGGAATTTGGAATGCATTTTAGAGCAGTAGTCTGTCATCTGGGACTCTCCTTTCACTTCCTGTTCTCGGGTCAGTCACCCTGAGTCTTTCTGTGGTTCTGGTTAGCAACTTCTGCACTTGTCAAAAATGGTAAAGCCAATCACAATCCCACATGAGGATCCCAAGCCAGTAGCCAAATGTGTGTCTTTGTGGCTGGCTCAGCATGTGGGGTGCAAACAAATACAGAAATTCTTTTACCGAGTGTTCTCTCCCTCCCTGTCTCTTTACATTTAGGCACGAAGAAATCGAGAAATAGCCATTTTGCATCGCAAGATTGATGAAGTGCCCAGTCGAGCCGAGCTGATACAGTATCAGAAGCGATTTATTGAGCTCTACCGTCAGAGTAGGTGCATTGATCAAACACAGACCGTTGGGCCCCAGGAAGTATGAGAAGCCAGGGGCTCCATCCACTTTAGTATGGTGCAGCATTGGCCAGAGCACAGTCTGTAAATTCCACCCTGAAAAGGACCTGCTTCATCATCAGGCCTGCTGAACAGGTCCAGGAGCTGACTTGTAGCCTGACTGTCCACTCCGTAGATGGGTTCATGATCTCGAGAGCCAGCTTGCCATGGTTAGCTACATGCAGGTTAGCTACCTGAGCCCCCTCTTCTTTCTGGTTTCTTATGAAGCATCCCCGTCCCAGCATCTCCAGATGGACCTCAGTCATGGTGCATGGAGTCTCACTGGAGCATCATATTCTCTTTAGAGCTTTAGAGCATCATATTCTCCTCATTATCCAGGACCAGTCTCCCCTCAGCTGACCCAGTGACTATATTATGTTAGGCTCAAAGCCACTCCCAGGGTCTGAGGGAGATGGTTCAGCTAATAAGGTGCTTGCCTTACAAGCATGCAAGCATGAGGACCTGAGTTTGATCTCGGTCCTGAAAAGTATGTTGTTGTTTAAAAAAAAAAAAAAAAAAAAAAAAGTCTGGCGAGATGGCTCAGGGGTTTAGTGCCCTTGTTTTTGCAGAGGACCTAGGTTAAATTCCTAGCACACACGTGACAGCTCACAGATATTTATAACTCCAGCTCCAGTTCCAGGAGATCCAACACCCTCCATGGTCACCAGGCACACACATGTGCACATACATGCATGCAGACCAAGCATCCATACACACATTTTTTTAAAAGTCAGGCGTGATGGTACACACACTGGGGAGGTGGAGACAGATGGACGGACCCCTGAGGCTCACTGAACAGCTGGCCCAGCTTAGTGCATGAGCTCCAGGTTCAGTGAGAGATCTTATCTCAAAACTAACTTGAAGAGGGATTGAGGAAGATACCCAGTGTCAACCTCCGGGCTCCGCATGCCCATGTACGCAGGTACAAACATGTATGCGCAGAGACAAAAGCTTGCATGACGACGGGACGGTTAAGTGTGCACAAGGCCCTGCAGGGCACACGCTGCTGCATGGGTTGGGAGGGATGCTCTGCCGGCTGACGCCCTTACACTGGGATGCTGATCTCTTGGGCAGTTTCTGCGGTACACAAGGAAACCAAGCAGTTCTTCACTTTGTACAACACCCTGGACGACAGAAAAGTTTATTTGGAGAAGGAGGTACGAGCCTTTGATTATTTGTTTCTTTTCTTGCTACATTTTAAAATGTATTGCGGGGTGGGGGGCTGCGTATGTGGAGATCAGAGGGCAGCTTGTGGCAGTCGGTTCTCTCCTTACATCATGTGGGCTCCAGGACTAGAACTCCAGTCTTTAGGGTTGGCAGCAGGCACCTTTACACTGAGCCATCGCGCTGGCCTTAGTAAGAGCCTGTATGGGAAGAAAATAACTTAGATGAGCCACTGAGAGCGTAGTAGCTCCAGAAGATTCAGGAGAGCCTCGAGCCTGCGATGGAGGCGTTGAGTAGAGAGAGGCGTCCTGGGCCAAGCATCCAGGTTTGCCACTGCAAAGCAGGAGACTGCCTGGGAGTTCACTGCAGTGAAGCGCAGCTGGTGTTCACCTGCTCTGTAGTATCATGTGAGAAACACCTTCATGAAGGGCTGGGAAGATGGCTTAACCCATGAAGCACTTGCCTTCCAAACATGAGGTTCTGAGTTCAGCCCCCAGAACCCACATTTAAAAAAATAAAAGCAGGCATGGTCATATGCTTGTAATCCCAGCCCTGGGGAAGCCGGGACAGATAGATCACTGGGAATCACTGCCCTATCCCTGTCCTAGCCTTCTTGATAAACTTCAGGCCAGTGAGAGACCCTGTCTTATAAAGCAAGGTGGATAGCATCATGGGGAGTGGCAGATGAGGGCATCTTCTAGCCTCCACAGGCAAGGGTGCATGCAAACACAAAAAAACGCATGAGAAAAAAAAAAAAAAAAACCCACACTCTTTCTGAAGTACTAAGGGTAAGAATGTCATTCCTATGTTGTGTGTGGTGAGTCCAAAGTTCAGGTATGGTTACTGCTTAGGGATGAGCCAACAGATCAGCCAGGGAGACCCCAGACAGCTCTTCCCGGCAGATGAGGGGTCCAGAGGTGAGGGCAGAGACAGTTTCCATGGGAACAGGACCATGAAGGATATGTTTTATCAGAAGCTCTCAGGACCATTTAGCAGCTGGCCATGTTGGCTGACTGGTGGGAGTGGGGTAGTGGAAGACGACGGGCAGTGTCTTCTCTTTCTCAGCTGACCCACCCCGGGCTGATAGCCTCAAAACAAAGAGGATGTTAGGGAAGACAAAAATGGTCTGTGCCGGCAGTTTGTCCAAAGAGTCCTGCCACTAGAGTCCTCTCAGCTGGCAACCGTCCTTCCTTCCACATTCTCACGATCATGCGTTCTGAGGGAAAGTTGTCTTCAGGTAAATAGTGGTCGATTCCCGGAGGAAAACTCAGGCAAGACACGTTGCTCTTTCTTTTCTTCTTCCACGTGTTACTTCGGCCCACTTACCAGCTCTTTATTCTTTCAGTGGCGTTACCCCAGCCCAGGCAAGCTTTGCAACGACTGAGGTGGTGTGGGAACTACCGCCTTTTACTTACACGATTCTTTTTCACTCCCCCAGATTAGCCTGCTTAACTCGATTCACGAGAACTTCTCCCAGTAAGTACCGCGTGCTCTCTCCCCTGGCTGCCCTCCCGATCCTGCTGTGGTGCATGAATGGCCTGGTGCTGGCATGTGAACCTCTCACTTTCCTGCTCCACTCAGGGCAGACGGGCTTTAAGGGAAGGTTCTGCAAACTGTAATGCACTGGGTAAAGAGCCTGCCTTGCACAAGGACCAGAGTTCCATCCCAGAACCCCCAGATGGAAAATCGAATGTGTGTCATGACTGTAATCCCAGAGCAGAGCGGGTGGAGGCAGGCAATTCCTGGGATCCAGTTTCCAGCAGGCCTAGCCTTTTTGGTGAATTCCAGGCCAGTGAGACAGCTTGCTTCAAAAACCAAGGAAGGCAGACACTGAGGAGGGATGCCTGAAGGCGTATTCTGTAGGTTAGCATACATCCTCTGAACTGTGGGTGTAGCTCAGTAGAGGAATGCTTGTGTAGAGCGTGAAGACCTGGGCTCAGTTCCCAGCACTGCATAAACTGGGACTTCTTAGGACACATCTGTAATCCTAGCGCGTGGGAGCGAAGATAGAATCAAGTTCAAGGTCATTCTTGACTACAAAGTGTGTTCAAGGCCAACCTAGGCTACATGAGATTTTTGTCTCAAAAAATAAAATAAAACATGTGTAGCAAGGACATCTGTAAATCGTATAGCAAGACCATCAGGTCACATCAGCTCTGGAGTGTATCCACGGTGAGCTAGCCTACCCACCTTCCTGGTAGCCCAAGGCTTGCTCCCAGAATAGCATGCTTCCCTTTTCTAGCACAAGCCTCTGTGGGCCCCCGGCAGGAGACCAGAAACATTTTAAGACAAAGTTCTTCTAGAATCAGGGGTGTCTATGTCTTTTCTAATTTAAACACAGCAGGACTAAGGCATTCTTCATCAGGCCTGAACCTGAATTGGATCCTCAGCACCTATGGCATGCCAGGGAAGGAGTCTTGAAGGGAAAAAAGGCAGCAGCCATAGTTTCCTGGGAGGTGCAGGTGTGGCCTTCTCAGGGTCCTGTTGCCCTTCTCAGACTATAGTACTGTCTTCCTGATGACCATGACAGTTCTGCTCTGTCAGCCCACTCACTCTCTGGGAGAATCCCCAATTCTGTGAGCACTGATGTTCTGAGCCTCCTGGTTCCCATCCCTCTGTAGGGCTGGATATGGGTAGGAAGGTGTAGCAGGCACACCGGGAAATCTACCCCTGACCTGCTGCCTCCAGCATGGTTTTAGGCTCCCCGGCTCAGATCTAGGAATACTACTCAGAGCATGGCCTCTAGTTCCAGATGACATCTCCCTGTCCTCAGATTCTAAAAAACAAAAACGAATTATTTTCTTAAGCAGTACATGCCATAATTCATGGCAGATGGCATTTTTATTATTTTTATTCACATTTTATGTTGAGAAAATACATATTGGTTAAAAGTTGAAAGGAAGAAGCTGAAAAGTCCTAGGAAGGGGAGCCCCCCAAAGTGGCCTGTGTGCATAGTGCTGCTGAAAGAGGTACACATACCTGTCTGTGTAGACTAAAGAAGTAGCATATTCTCACCTGCATAGTGTTCCTCGGAATCCACCTCCATCTAAAGAAAGTTGTTCCTTCTGCAGTCCATTGCCACAGGAACATAGGGAGAATGGGAAAGAAGATTCACATTCAGTTATTAGATCAGGGGTTTGGCATACTGACTGCGTGCTATTCTTGGTGGCCCTCTGGGTCCGCTGGCCCTGCAAAGACCTAGGTGGCTGTTGGGCACACTCTAGGTTCAGGGCTGACTCCTTGGTGCCCCCCACCCCTTTCTAACCGTCCCGTGTGCTGTTCCTACCTCTGCTGATTTCTCTTTCAGAGCCATGGCCTCCCCTGCTTCCCGGGACCAGTTTTTAAGGCAGATGGAACAAATCGTCGAAGGCATTAAACAAAACAGGATGAAGGTCAGCTAGCTCATTCTACAGCATTGCAGCCTCTGTGGTGGGGAGGAGGTCCCGGCATAGGCTTTCCATCCTGACTGCACCCTTCCACATTGCCTCCCAGCAGACATGAGACTGGGGGGGGGGGGGGAGCCTCCACGCTATTAACCAAAGCTTCCAGGCACTGAGCACTCCTGTGTCCAGGCACTGTGCTACTCCCCCGTAGACTGTATTAAATAAGTAATCCTACCCCCTCCCTGCCCTGCTTTACAGAAAAAGAGCTGTCCTTCCCTAGCAACCTTCTCTTGTCCATCCACCTCCTCCCTGGTCATTTATCTCATGACATTTCACGCCTAAACTGACTCCTTCCACACAAATGAAGCAGGGTGTGATAGCATGTGCTTATGATTCTGATGCTGGGGAGAGTGATGGAGGACCCCTGGGGCTCACTGGCTAGCCCTCCTAGCCTCCTTAGCCAGTCCTAGGCCAGGCAGAGACCTGTCTCAAAAACAAGGTGAGGGATTACAGCCGAGTTTGTCCTCTGGCCTATGCACACATACGCATGCACATAGACACTTGCACAGATACACACGCATGCATGCACACGCACGCACCATTGCTGCTACGTGCAGGCAGCACCTGCTCTGTACATGACGTCTTCCTGCCCTCACCTCCTGGCTGGCTGATGTTCTACATTTAGCTTCAGAAAGCACGGCACACGGCACACGCCGCTCCTGGTTCTGCTGAGTTGTCTCTCCTCAGAGCACTCCCCCACCCCCAGCCTTCTGCATCACAGAGTCCCCATGCCCTCACCATCTCTCCCCATTCCGTTTTCCTCAGCACTGATGCTGCTGAGAACTGTAACGTGCATTCGTTTGTCAGATGCTTGGTTGCTCGGTTTCGTTTGGCGCGGTACCAGTTGCCAGGATGTGCTCAGTGAGAACAAAGACTTTGCTGTTCGCTGCTAACTTTAGGCCCTCTGTAGGTGTTCCGTTACTATTTACCAAGTGAATAAGGGACCTGAACTTAGTCCCTAGAACCCTGAGAAAAAGTCAAGTGTAGTGGTGTTAATGTATACTTGTATTCCCGGAGCTGGGGACCAGAGGACTAGAGCGTCCCTGGGGTTTGATGGAGTACTTGGCAAGTTTCAGGCCAGTGATGGTCCCTGTCTCTAAAACAAGGTGGGGACAACTAGGTGGCTCACTGGGTACAGGCATGTGATAGAAGGAGAGACAAATTGTCCTCCAACCTCCGCTTGCAACCTACCCCAGCTTTTGGCTACTTTAGAGAATCCCTTGAAGTCAGCATCTAGTGTCTGTATAAGATCAGAATCCTGGGAACAACCTATAACACAGTCAAGGCAATTGTAGATAGCTTATCCTATGATGCAGTTATGATAAGTGAAGGGGTGATGGGCTATTTTATTATAAATACACAATTATATATGTCAGGGTTACTCACCCACAACACAGCCAACATTCTGGGCCAGTAATCCTTTTCCTTATCACCATCCCGAACCTGTAGGGTAGTGAGCAGGTCCTCCTTGCTAGTGATGCCAGCAGCTCCTTCCTCACAGTTGTGACACTCACTCACTCGGAACCTCTTGCAGACACTCAGAAATACGCTCTAAAAAGTAGTCCCCAGTCGAGAATACCCCCAAAACACACGCTGCTCACCTAACATTCCATGGCGATTGAGCTTCCGACTAGATTATAGAGCCTGCAGATGGTATCATTCAGGAAAACAGGCCAACCTGAGAAGCGATGTTTAGAGGGAGGGCCTGGAAGCAGCAGCTGCGGATGCTAATCAGGGCTGCCTGTTGTAGTCGCTGTCAGAATGCCTGTTCATTCATCCGCCGAAATGTTTCCAACAGATGGAAAAGAAGAAGCAGGAGAACAAGATGAGAAGGGACCAGTTGAACGATCAGTACCTGGAGCTTCTGGAAAAGCAGCGGCTCTACTTCAAGACTGTGAAAGAGTTCAAAGAGGTGAGAGGGCATGGGCCGGACGGGGGGTAGCCAAAATCAGGTGCTCGTTCACCCACCTCAAGGCACATCCTTAAAGACCAGAGCTGGGAGCTGGCGAGACCTGGGCTTTGTCAGTGAGGCACTCAGTGTGAAAGAAGGAGAACTCGGGTTCGATCCCCAGAACTCACAAGACAGGTATGGTGCCCACTTGTAATCCCAGTGCTGAGGGAGAGCAGGCAGGAGCACCACTGGGCCACCCAGCCACCCAGCCCAGCCTTCTCTGTGAGTTTCAGGCCGGGGAGACACCCTGCCTCAGAAAAGTAAGGTAGGGCCAGCAAGACGCCTCGTGGGTAAAGGTGTCAGGCTTGGTGACTTGGCTTCAATAGCCAGTACCCACACAGTGGAAGGAGAGAACCAACCACGCGAGTCGCCCTGTGATCTCCGTGGCCGGCACACACAGACACACAAAACAAATGAGTAGAAAATATAATTTTAGAAAGAAGGTAGACAATGCCTAAAGAGCAGCAGCTGAGCCTGACCTCTGCCCTCCATAGGCGCACGTACACACACATATGCAAGCACACACACACACACACACACACACACACACACACACACACACACACACGCACACATGAACAAAATGAAAAGCAAACGTCCCATGCCGACGATGTTCTTGTTTATTTTTAAAGGTTATTCTGTCTCCTCTTCCGCCTTACTCTTCTCTACCTGGCCGACCCCCTGTTTTATGAGTTAACTGTGGCAGCTGAATGCCTGTCTAAGGCAAAGCAACAACTCTCATCCTTTCAAATGTCCTCCGAGCTCTGACTGTGCCTCTGGCATAAACCAGGTTGTAAACCGGGCCTGCTCTCTGCCCTCATGGAGCTTCACTGTGCTGAAGGAGACAGATGAGATGCTAAGAAATAGACAGACAGAAGCCACAGTGAACAAGAAATAATAACAGTAATAGTTGCAGACTTCACCATGCAGAGAGACAGATGCAGGTCTGCAGCCAAAGTGGAGTCTACAGACTGAGCAGGGCTCTGCTCTGGGGAGAGCAAGAGCATGTCAGGGAGCAGCCAAGGTCCTGAGGCTCGGGAAGAGCCCAGCACCTGATGTGGAGTACATATGTGATGCACATGTGTGTGCCTGTGCATGCCCATGCATGTCTGTGCAGAGACCAGAGGAGGATATCGGATGTCTATAATTCTTCTGTTGTATTCTTGTGAGACAAAGTCTCTCACTGGTCCAGAGCTAGACTGGCAGCCAGAAAGTCCCACCAATCCTCAGTCTCCATACCCACAGCACCAAGGTTGCAGGCATGTGCACAGTCATGCCCATCTTTTTGTGCAGGTGATGGGGATTCAGACTCAGGTCCTCATTCTTGCTCATCAGGCACGCTTCCCACTGAGCCATCTCCCCAGCCCTTCAGCTCCCTTTTGCTTAGAGACGTGAGAAAGCTTTGGGAAGGGCCTGGGGTTGTTGGGGGTTTGCTAAGCGAGGGGTCTTGAGCTGTCAGGTGAACCACTCTGGAATTTGCCAGAGGAAGGAAATACAGAAAGGTAACTGGTATCTCAGGACACTGGACACTATTGGCAGGGGATAGGGGCAATGACGTCCCTCAGTGGCTGCACTCACAGTGTTTAGTCATGAACCTTATGCCCTCATTATTGAAGAAGAAAGCACCCTTCATAAATGCCTCTCATTGCGCCTTCTGCACACTTATTTCTTAAGGCTGAGAATGCCCGGCATCTTCGCTGATAGAACCTCTGACTGTCCACCTGCTGTGTGTGCACTAAGGATATCTTGCTCCCTTCTTGGGGAACAATCTCCAAGCCTCCTTCTCTCCTTTTGCCTCCCCAAACAGACTGGAAAATAAGTGTCTCCTCTCTGCTTCTGTCCCCTTGGAGACTTTTAGAAAGTTCCATCTGTAGGATGGTCGTACCTGGTCTCCTTTCTTCAGCCCAGAGGTTTCATCACATCTGTCTTGACACAGATGTAGGTAGAGTGCTTGCCTGGCAGTCCAGAACACCGGATTTGATCTCCAGCACACCTGTCATTCTAGTGCTCAGGAGGTGGAGGCAGGAGCATCAGAGACTCAAGGTCATTTTTGACTTTGTAGCCAGTTCAAGACCAACCTGGGCTATGTGAGTCTCTGTCTCAAAGGGGGGGGTTACCAAGACTGAGTAGAAGGTTGGGGCATCTTTGGAAACCCCACGTGAGTACCAGTGACTAACAGTCATTGCTTCTCTCTGACTGCTCTTCCAGGAGGGCCGGAAGAATGAACTCTTGCTGTCCAAGATCAAAGCCAAGGCCTCCTGAACACCCATCTCCACCTCTGTATGTTGGCGATATTTTCAATGGCATGTATAGACTACAGGATCCTGAAACGGTTCTGAAAGTGATGGTGGAAAGATACAGGAAGACTCATTTCAACTCTCCGGATGGATGTTTTCTTTCTCCTATTTGTTTCTTTTCATCTCTCCTGGCTGCAGCTGGTGGACTCAGAGTTTTAACACCATGGCTTGGATGACGCCTAGAACCCTGTGAAGAAATGTGGGCGATGCTCATTCACTCTGCCCGCCCAACTTTTTCCTCCAGTAACACTGCATTTATGAAGGTACCTAGATTTGTACAGGCCCTGAGAATAAAGAGCATTTATTAGTTGAGCACCTGCTGAAAAATGAGCCCTGAGATAAATGTAGCAGAATACAGAACATTGTCCCTTCTCCTCTGGCATCTGGCAGGGGCCAGAGAGCAGATACAACCCACTTGACCCCTGAGGCTTGTCCCTTGCAATGTCTCAGAAGGCTGCTGAGGGAGCAGCCAGCCCAGTCCTGTGGCTGGTGTTGGCCGTGCACCTACCATTGTGCCTTCTGTTCTGGCTTCTCACAGTGCGTGCAGACTATGGGCGGGACTGGCATGCAGAGAAATTAGCCCACAGGTGTAGAGACAGAAGAGGTGAGGTTCCGGTTTTCTGGAGTTCACCTGTCTGTGTCGGGAAGACTGATACAAAGTAACCCTTCATCTGGATCCATGCTTCTCGGGTGTTTCCTTTGGCATGGCTGTGGGTGTGTCCAGCCCTCAGGCTACATGTGGTCCAGGATAGCTGTCAGGGTGGCTCAGTGTCATCCCTTTAGCCCTGCACACCACCTAGGTTCACTTGATGGAAATACTGCAAACGCACCTTCCATTGAGGACACTTCAATAAGAACTGAAGCTTCCCATATCCGGCTGGGCCTTGTTTGAGGTGTATCCCATGTTCCTGCACTGCAGATGTCAGGGTCTAAGTGAAGATTAAGATGTGTATTCTGTTCGGTACTATCAGGGCAGACCTGGGGAAAGACAGTAGGCTCTGAGCAGGTTTTAGGGGCACGAGGACTCCATGGAAGAAACAGTACTTGGACTAGTTCTGCAAGGAAGAGAATGTTAGCTGAGCTGGGAGGAAGGGCCTTTAATAACCCCCAAAGCCTTGGTTTTAGGCCCTGGAAAATGAGCAGACCAAAGCAATTGCAGAGTACTCCCCTCAGCAATTAGGAACCTAGCAACTGGGTCATGCTCAGTAAACCCCAGTGTGAGGCTTGTGCTTCATCCTGCATAAAGTTAACCTGAACGGCAGATTGGGACCATTTGACAGAAGCATAAATATGTGAGGCAGGTGGAGCATTGGGCAGAAGCACCATTCACTGTTCATTTCCTGATGTATGTGATTAAGATGCATGGTGCTGGGGCCCAGTTGGTGAGCGCTTGCCTAGGTTCCATCCCTAACATCACACAAACCACACATGGTAGGGCACATTTGTGATGTGCTCTCAGGAAGTAGAGTCAGGAGGATCAGGAAATCAAGGTCCTCCTAGGCTAAACAGCAAACTGGAAACCAGCCTGGGCTACATAAGACTGTCTCCCACCCCAAAAGAAAAGCCCAGGCAGGCTTAATAGCATCCTCAGTTCCTGAAGCAGGGTCACTGAGCTGCAGTGAGCTGGGTAGGAACAGCAGCAGCTAAAGCATCACTCCCCTGTGCCAGCACACTTCCTAGTGAGCCCTGTGCCCACCTCTGCCTGCACTGGGACCTGCATCGTCACGAGAGCATTGTGAAAAGTCTCGGCTGACGTAAACACTTGTAAAATAATAATGAAGTTAATAAAAATAAAGTAGGACTTTGAGGAAGGAGACAGCATTTTGACCTTGTTAGAACTATCCCAATTAATAAAAATAAAGTAGGACTTTGAGGAAGGAGACAGCATTTTGACCTTGTTAGAACTATTCCAATTCAGAGGAGAGGATCACTAGTCTGTAGACATGTTCAACCACAGGGTCCCTGTAGCCAAGCATCACTGTGAATGTGGCCCAACACAAAATTGTAAAGTAATTTAAAAACATTGAGGTTCTTTTCCCTCTCTGCTTTTTTTTTAAACTCCATTATACTGTGTACTCTGAATAAACTTCGGAGGTGACGATATCATGTTATCATATCAAAAGGTTGGTCACTCCTGGTGGAGAGAAATTGGTAGATACCTTGTCCCATTTTTTAATCCACAAGGCTTAACACAGATGATGAGAGGTTCGTGTTACTAGCTCTATAGTACCAGGTATGAACTCCCTCCTGAGGAGCAGGCCACAGATCTAAACAAAGTACAGTTGGTTACCCCATAACAGTCATGCCAGTATTGCACCAATGCTCACATCTTGCCTGGCTGGTTGGTATTTTAGTTGCAAGTTCATAGCTGGCTAAGACTGTTGATGACGCCCTCCTCCCCAGCTGCCTGTGGAGCAACATCTGCCACCATGAAAGCTAGCCAGCAGGGAGGAAGCATCTAGCTAGGATCTATCTCGATTTCTCTGTGACTTTCATTCAAAGTATGTGGTACCTGAAGCAGTAGTGTCTTTCCATCTAGTTCTGGTGGCCAACCATGAGCATGGCCACCATGAGTATTGTTTTGGAGTCTCCTGGGTTGGCTGGGTTGGTTGAATACTCTGAATTAGGCTTCAGAAGCCAGCACTGAGAATTCTACATGTGCTTCTGACATCCTGAAGCATAAGACAGCACCTTTGTGGGTAATTCCAGCATGAAATAGGCTGAGGAGATTCCCTGAGGGCCCTGGTCATTTCAGAATCCATCTGGAGGCTGGTGAAAGGGAGAGGCCTGCCCAGGCAGTGTCTTCTGTGCCCAGACATGGGATAGCATTGTGTTCTAAGCCTCCTGGCTTTTACCAGAGTTATAAGACAGTGGGGAAACAATTGTAAGTGACTTTTTTTTCCCCCGTGTGCACTTTAAGAGAAACCAGATTCAGAGCAGGGAGCTTATTGACAGGACTGGCACCCAGTGCCATGCTTTCTCGGTCTCTAGGTGAGGAGCTGCCTTCACTCCCATTTCCTTCTCCTAGAATACCTGGGGGTGCTCTGGTTACCACTCGCTTCTCATGGAATACCTGGGGGTGCTCTGGTTACCATCAGGCTCAGAGCAGCGTTGCAGTCGTGATCTAGGTGAGAATAAAGTGATGGTGAGATGTCTGGGAGGATGTGGGGACATTCTGTTGTTCTCCCATGTTCAGTATTTAGTCAGCCAGCAGCACGTGGGCAGCACGTAGTACCATAGAACAGCTGCCAGCCTGTCTCCAAGGGCTGGTGTTTTCCTACTGGAGCAGAGCTTATGTCGGGCTTAAACAGTGAAGACACAGACTGGTGGTGGAACCAGACCAGCATTGGTCACCAGGCAGGGCTCTTCCTCTCCACACTGTCCCTGGAGACCTCTCAAAACCTTGAAGAAAACATGGGGCAGGCCCTCCAGCAGCCCTCTTACTACCTCACAAAGTGCCATTCCCATGGACTGTCACTTTGGCAGACTCTCAGCTTGTCTATCCTGAGTAAAGCAGACACTACCTGAAGGGGTATCTGGGACACCCATCCCGGTCTGCAGCCTGTACCTTCTATATTCCTCCCACCTCCACGGTTCTATCCTGCCTGCTCTCCAGGCCATGGATGGTCAGTTTAAGGGGACTGGATATCCTAGCAATAACTTCTAACAGTGACTTTGACTTGTGAAGGTTCAGGTGGTTGAATTGGAATATGCTCTGAGAAACACTGGAAGGAGGTGGTTATGATGTAGTCATTGCCGGGGTTGGTCACCAAGAAAAAGAACACCTTAATGCAGAGCAGTACAGCGAAGAGTAACATGGGTGCTACTGTCTGTTCTTGCAGCTGGGCGTGGCCAGAGGAAGAGCCTTATGAGATGTGTCTTAGAGTCCGCCATGCTCTCTCTTCTAGCAGCAGGGGGCAGTAGGCCAAAGTTGTCCATAAAATGTAATGGAGAGCTGGGGAGACGGCTTAGCAGTGAAGTGCTTGCCTTGCAAGCAGGAGGACCTGAGTTAGCGTCCCCAGCATCCACATAAAAAGGCAAGCACAGCCATGTGCTCTCGTATTCCCAGCACTAGACAGGCAGAGACAGAACGATCTCTGGGCCTCACTGACCAGCCAGACTAGCTCAATTGGTAAGCTTCAGATTCAGTGAGAAAACCTGTCTCATAAAATAAGGTGGAAAGCAATCCGAAGGCAACTGAGTTGACCTCTGGCCTTCACTTGCACAGGCATATACATGCACATGCACACACACCCCATACACATATAGGAACATGCACATACAAAAAAGTAATGCATGTTTCTATCTTCTTAGAATAAATATGATGTATGAGATCATGATCAGGGTTTTAGTACCTCATCTGCAGTGTGTTTGACTCCATGGGGAATTTCTTCTTCTGTATCCTCATCAGCCTATATTAGTTTCCTAGATGGACTAAGTTCACCCTCTGTGGGTATTTTCCTCATATGTCCTCTGACTAGGCTCTGTCCTCTCCCTGGCTTGGTGTAGTGGCTTCCCATGATCATCTGTGTGGTCCCTTTTACATTGGCCTCCTGATCCCCAGTCCACCCACCACATCTGTTGTCCCAATGACACACATCGATGCTCAAGGTTCCCAGTCCTTTTCAAGATCTACACCTTCCCTCTTAGGAATGTATAAGGGCAGCAAAAACAGGAACCTTGACCACCTTATTGTGGTTCCTCAAATGGTCAGAACACCCCACTTGGTTAAGTCAGCTCCCCAGATTGTATCTTTAAATCCTGTAGTAGCAAAATATAGACTTAACCTAATCCTTGCTCAGGTTGAAACAGGCTGGCAGTTCTAGTCAGCAACATTAGAGAAGTTCTCTAAGATGTGTGTTCTTTAGTCACTAACCTTGAAGGTTGGAATGGAAAAGAGTTTTCCAGAAGTTTCCAACCTTTAACCAAGATCACCTTTTGGAGATGTCCAGTATTGTGGCAGAGAGGGCACATTGATGTCAGATAGGATCATGAGTATATGTTCTTCAAACGTGGCAGATGCATCTTAGCCACATGAATCCAAGAAAAGGGGAGGTGCTGTACACCTGTGGGCAGCAGCCCAGTGATGGCAGAGCTGAAAACCTGCAGCCTCCTCCTCGGAGGACAGCCGAATATGTATATCACAAATCCAAGCGGACCGCCTTTTGAACCAGCAGTGCCATGTCTAGGAACTTTTCTCATGTACAGAAACTTTTATTAAAGCAACGTTTGTAATAACAAAGAGTTAGAAACTATCATTAATTCAGAACAGGGGTGAAAAATCATGGCCCATCTCCACAATGGGGCTTTTTGCAGATAGTTAAAGTAGACCTGCGATGTGTATTGCCAGGGAATGTTCACAGATCTTGGAGCCACATGGCTAAGTGGGGGAAGGAGACATGCACGAACATGCATGGAATGCTAGTGTTTGGGATAGAGATAAATACATGTGTTGTAGGTGTGTGTATGCATATGTGTGTGTGCATATACTCACACATATGCTTGTGATGCGTCTGCTTGCCTGTGCCCAGTGTCTCTCAGAAGTGGCACAGTAGCCTGGCAACCTAGGTTGCCTCCTGGAAGAGGGTGGGAATGACTTTTCACCACTTGTCTTTTGTATTCTGGAATTTTGTACCATGTACATGCATTATCTACTCAAAAATAAATAGTTTTTGAAGTTTAATTTGGTTTCATTTAAAAAAATCATGGGATAAGATTCCACTTCCATTAATCTGCTTGCTTACTTACTCTTTCTTTCTTTTTCTTTCTTTCTTTCTTTCTTTTTCTTTCTTTCTTTCTCTCTCTCTCTCTCTCTCTCTCTCTCTCTCTCTCTCTCTCTCCTTCCTTCCTTCCTTCCTTCCTTCCTTCCTTCCTGCTTTCAGGGGTGGGGGTGGACAAATGGTGTTGAGACGGGGTCTCAAGTATCCCAGACTGGCCTCAAACTCTGTATAGCATCAGTGAGCTTGAGCTTCCACTGGTCTCTACCTCCCAGTGCTGGGAGTACAGATTTGTGTCTCCACAGACAGTTTATGCAGAACTGGGATTGAATTCAGGGCGTCTTGCATGAGTTGAACATTCTACCAACTGAGCTACACCACCCCTCCCCCCATCAATATGTTTGCTTTGGGTTTGGTTTTTTTCCCCCCCAGACAGGGTTTCTCGGTGTAGCCTGGCTGTCCTGGAACTTGCTCTGTAGACCAGGCTGACCTCAAACTCAAAGATCCACCTGCCTCTGCCTCCTGAGTGCTAGGATTAAAGGTATGCACCAACATGTCCAGCTAATTTGTTTTCTTGACAAACACAAAGCACTGGAGTCTGGCAATGTGATGCTGTTCTTGGATGTCAACTTGACCACATCTAAAATTAACTAAAACCCAAATGATTGGGCATATCTGTGAGGGACTTTTCTTTAATGAAATCACTTGCAGTGGGAAGACCCACTACTAAGCCAGATCTTTGAGGTGGGAAGATCTACCTTTAATCTGGACCACACTTTCTGCTGGCAGCCTAGATAAGGGACACAGAAGAAGGAAGCATGCCCCTCCCCTTTGCCTGCTTGCTCTCACTGTCCAGTCCATTCCTCCATTGGCATTAGAGGCCACTTCTTTGGGATTCTGGCATAGACTAAAGACCAGCTGAGACATCCAGCCTCATGAACCAAACAACTACTAGATTCATGGACCTTCATTGGTATACAACCATTGTTGAACTAGCTGGACCACAGCCTGTAAGTTATTCTAGTCTTTGAGAGTGTGTGTGTGTGTGTGTGTGTGTGTGTGTGTGTGTGTGTGTGTGTGTGTTAGATTCATGCTATAAGCTCTGCTCTAGAGAACCCTCACCAAAACAGGCAGCTAGACTCATCTGTTTGGGTCGTAGACACTAGGCCACTATGAAGGGTTGGCCTTGTCTGGCGGAAGAGCTTTGGGGGACTGGAGAGGCTGGCTCTGCTCTTGTGTGTATGTTTAACAGGGACAGGGGGTGAGCTGAGCAGCTCTAGGGTTGCCTGTCTCTCATGAGACTCACATTATAACCTGCCTGCTGACACTTGAAGTTCAAAAGATAGGGCCGGTACCTCTGAACAATTAACATCCTCCAGCAGCCATGCCTAGTTCACCGGGAGCCTTCTGTGGGTGCTCTTTTCACCCCCTTTTCCTTACCAACTCTGCTTGTTAGTTTTATTGTCCAACTGAACACAAACCTAGAGTCATCTGGAAAGAAGAAGTTTAGATGAAGAATTGCCTCAGGTTGGCCTGTGTCCATGTCTGTAAGAGATGGTCTTGATGGATGACGGACCATCCCTAGGCAAGTGGCCCTCATCCACATATAAAACTAGCTGAACACATGCCAGAGAAGAACCAGTAGGCAATGTTCCTCTGCGATTTCCGCTTCAGCTCCCTGCCCCGCCTTCCCTCCCTCAAGTGAAGCCTGTTTCCTGGAAGCATAAGGGGAAGCAAACCCTGTGTTCCCAGGTTGCTTTTGCTCCTGGTGTTTATCTCAGCAACAGAAGGCTGATGAGAAGAGCAGCTGAACTCTGCTGGGTCTGACTCCCGTGCATTAGTTATTTTCCTTGTGGCTGGGAAGAAATCTCTGACAAGAACAGCTTAAAGCCGGGCAGTATTAGCACACACCTTTAATCCCAGCACTCAGGAGGCAGAAGCAGGCGGATCTCTGTGAGTTCCAGGCCAGCCTGGTCTACAAAAAGAGTTCTAGGAAAGGCTCCAAAGCTACACAGAGAAACCCTGTCTCGAAAAACCAAAAAAAAAACAAAAAACAAAAAACAAAACAAAACAAAAAAAAAAAAAACAGCTTTTTGGGCTCACAGTTCAAGGGATACAGTCCATCGTGGTGGAAAAGCACAGCAATTGGAGCCTTGAAAGTGTCTGGTCACATTGTCCCCACCGTCAGGAAGCAGAAAGAGAATGCTGGTGCTCAGCTCGTGTTCTCTTTTTCATTCAGTCTGAGATCCCAGTCCACGATGCCATCCATACTCAGGGTGGGTTTTCCCGCCTCTGTTAACCTAATCTAGAAACTCCCTCACATAAAATTCCTCGAGTTTTATTTCCATGGCAATTCTGAATCTCATCAAGCGACAATCAACATTAACCATGAAGTCCCTGGGGAAGGAACCATGACTCCTCTTAAGTATTATTTAAGTGGGGGAGGGGCACACAACACATGTTAATGCAGGTGCCGGTGAAGGCCAGAAAAGGACATCAGATATCCTGGGAGCTGGAGTTACAGGCATTTGTCAGCCTCCTGACATGCATGCTAGAAACGGAACTCAGGTCCTCTCCAAGAGCGGCAATCCCTCTTAACCCCTGACCATCTCTAGCCCACTACTACTGTTCTAAAGCAGGGAAATGCTCTACTTGCTCGGTTGATTTTTGAACAGATGTCCAAGCCAATTGTGATGCTTTGAGAAACCCTGCTAGCACACCACCGGCAAAGACAGGACCCCTGGCCACATCAGCAGGAGAGGCACCAAGAGCTCCTGGTACCTACCCTTCCTGTTCTTTCAAATAGTAGGAGAAAAGACAGAGTTTGAGTGGCATCAACCATCCTGAGAACAAGCAAAGACACCTTGATACTGAGCTTGGCCAAGTTTTTTAAAGAAAAAAAAAAAAAAAACAAAAAACGGAAAACTGGAATTCCTAGAGGCGTGGCAAGCTTCTGAACCAAACGGGGGACCATTTGCCTCGATGTCCTGCTCAGTGAGGATCTTCATTGTTCATATTCAAAGGTGTCAAGCACTGGTGCACTAATGGTCAGACAAGAGCCTGTCTTCCCACAGGGACTGGAGTGGGGACAAGGCACGCGAGCACGTGACCGCATGCGCTGCTTCAACATGCTGGTTAAAACGAGGAAGGACCGGGAGGATGGCTTTGGTGGTGGCTGCATTGTTACACTGAAGAGCTAGGGGAGGCCTCAGCCACCGACCAGGGACAGTCGCGTGGGGACCTGGTGACAATTCCAAGCAGAGGGAATAACGAGTAAAAAGACTGAACAAGCGCATGCCCTGGTGAGGTTGAGGACCTGTGTGGAGAGCCATCGGAGGGTTTTGAGAGGGAGGCAACTCGAATGGGCTCCCTCTGGGGACAGATGACTGCAGGAAGGTGGGGGCAGGTGCAGGGCTCCAAAGATGACTACAATAACACGGTGGATGTGATGGAGACAAAAGTTTCTGAAGGCTTCCCCCAGGCGTGTGTGTGTGTGTGTGTGTGTGTGTGTGTGTGTATTTGAGACAAGGTCTTATGTAGCCCAGGCTTGAACTTTGTCTCAGGTAGGGTTTCTATTGCTGTGAAGAGACACCATGGTCACAGCAACTCTTATAACAGAAAAAGTTTAAAGGGATGGTTTACAGTTTCAGAGGTTTAGTCCATTATCATCATGGTGGGACATGGCAGCATGCAGGCAGACATGGTGCTGGAGCTGAGAGTGCTACATCTTGATCAGCAAGCAACAGGAAGTGAACTGTCTCACTGGGTGTGGCTTGAGCATGGAAGAGACCTCAAAGCCCACCTCCACAGTACCACACTTCCTCCAACAAGGCCACACCTCCTAATAGTGCCACTCCCTTAGGGGGCCATTTTCTTTCAAATCACCACAAACTTCCTGTGTAGTTGAGGATGACTTGAACTCCTGATCTGCCTGCCTCCATCTAAGTGTGATCACTAGGCATGTTGCACTATACTTGTTTTATGTGGTGGTGGGTATCAAACCCAGGACCTTGTGCATGATAGAAAAGCACTCTACCAACTGAGCTACATTCCCAGTCCCCACCCTTTCTATGTTATTCTTGGACTTTCTTCCATGTTTGCTAACTTGTTTCCTTCATCTTTGCATGTGTGATGTGTGTGGAAGAGTAGGTGAGCACTTGCCACAGAGTATGTGGAGGTCAGAGGGAACCTTGGGTGCTAATCCTCACCTTCGGTCTTGTTTGGGGCAAAGGCTCTGCTCACTGTCTCATACCTCAGGCTAGCTGACCTGAAAACTTCCAGGGACCCCCCTGTGTCTGCTCCCAGTCACCATAGGAACACTAGGATCACAGACACACACTTCTGTGTTCAGCTTCATTTGGGTTCTGGCAATTCAGACTCATGTCCTCAGGCTGGGCGGTGGTGGCACACGCCTTTAATCCCAGCACTCAGGAGACAGAGGCAGGCAGAAATCTGTGAGTTCGAGGTCAGCCTGGACTACAGAGTGAGTTCCAGGACAGGTGCAAAGCTACACAGAGAAACCCTGTCTCGAAAACCCAAAAAAAAAAAAAAAAAAAGACACAGACTCATATCCTCAGGATTTCACAGTAAGCGTTTTGCCTCCTGAGCCATGTCCCCAGCTGGGTTTTTCTTACTCCTGATATACACTTCTCTGTCCCCACTTTGGGCTCCTGTCCCTGGGATATCAGCGGACTTAATGTGAGTTTGGGGGCTTCAGCGTGTTCACCCTCTTGCCCTCTCTTGAGAACACACCCTGCCCACACCAAGGGGGCTAAGAAGACACCAAGAGCTGGAAAGACCCACACAGACCATAGGCATCTGAGCAAGGTGATAACGGTTTGTTCGATGGGCCACCCAGGTCTTTGTAGCTGCACAGCTGACGACAACGCTCAGTGTCTTTCAGCCAAAAGGATCTGTATGATACAGAGGCTTTGTGCGTGTGGACTGTGAGTCCACAGTGAGCATCACACTCCCAATCTTGGAGTAGGCACCATAAATAAATTGATAGTGTGCCAAGAAAGAAGCACCTCAGAGGTATTTTTTTTTTTTTTTTAGACAGGGTTTCTCTGTGTAGCTTTGTGCCTTTCCTGGAACTTGCTTTGGAGACCAGGCTGGCCTCGAACTCACAGAGATCCGCCTGCCTCTGCCTCCTGAGTGCTGGGATTAAAGGTGTGCGCCACCACCGCCCGGCTAAGAAGTATTTTTATTGCTTACACACACACACACACACACACACACACACACACACACACACACACACACATATGCATGCACAGGCACACAGATGCACAGACATACAGGCATACACACACAAACCACAAACATACACACATGCACATGCGCACTCGTGTATGCATAGGCACACACAAGCACATAGACACGCAGTCACACACATCCTCACTCATGCACACACACACGTGTGTATGCCTGCAGGCATACACACATCAGCAAACTTCTCACAGTTGTCCTTCCTGTGGATAGAAAAAAACCAGGCCACGTGAGGAGCTTCATGGATCATCCCCAGAAATGCCCATTTAACTGGTCTAAAGAGTAAAGTAAGGAGCTGGAGAGATGGCTCAGCAGTTAAAAGTACTTGTTGCAGAGGACCAGAGTTCAGTTCCCAGCATCCACACGGGGCAGCTTAGAACTGCCCATAATTCCAGCTCCAGGGGATCTGACACCTTCTTCTGGTCCCTGCAGATACCAGCATATACACACACATACACTCAGTAAAAATAAAAATAACTCTTAAAAAAACAAAACTTTGAAGAGTAATGTAAGCACCCAGGAGTATCTCATATGGACTAATTATAAAAGCAAACAAACAAACAAACAAAAAAGCTGGACATGATAATATGCACACCTTTAATCCCAGCACTCAGGAGGCAGAGGCAGGTGGATCTCTGTGAGTTAGAGGCCAGCCTGGGCTACAGAGTGAGTCCCAGCCCAGTCAGGGCTACAAAGGAGGCCCTATCCCAAAATAACAACAACAAAAACAAAACAGAAAAACCACTGAGACACCATAACACTAGACCACCAGGCCTCTATGAGAGTCTGGGTTGGTTTGTGTGAATTACTGAACACGTTTCTATCTTTAAATTGTATGTATCATTTATTTTGTGTACACATGGGGGAGCGGGCTGCCGGCACGTATGTGGAGATTGGACGGGTCTGGGGCTCAAAAGCAGGTCACCAGGCTTGGTGGCAGGTGCCTTTATCCACTGAGCCGTCTTGAAGACACCTGCATGGAACACTTTTTAACAAGGCTTCAGGTGAGGTGCGTGTTCCCAAACTAAGAATCATTGCCTTGTTGAGGATGTGTAGGAAGCTAATAAAGGTAAACTCCTTTGGTGGATAAAGAAAGGGTAAAGGAGAAGCTATGTCAGGGAGACAGTCTCAGGAAAACCCTGAGAGACCATTCCCCCCCCCCCAAGGAACAGAGTATTAAATAAAACAAAAGCAAATCAGCTTTGTCACGTGCCAAGTCTAATGATTTATCAGTAATACCTAAACTACATCCTGTAAGGGTTTGGCGGGGTTTGTGTCCCACATGTGCAGGCATGTACCACAGTCCACTAGTAATGTCTGTCATGTCCTTCTGTAGAAGGCATGAGTGTGTCTGCCAGACAGTTGCCACCCTTCATGAGAACTCTTCCAGGCCCAATGGTAGGACTTCCAAAATGTCATTGGCGTGAGGTGGAGAGAACGTCCCCAGGGCTCTGATGAAACGGGAATTGCAAATCCCCTTGCTCTTCCCTTCCGTCTCCCAGCCCTTCTTATCTCTGCTTAGTGAAGAGGCTCTTGAAGGCGTTGTTGTAGTTCTTATTAAAAGCTGTGTAAATCAAGGGGTTGAAGAAGGAATTGGAATACCCGAGCCACAGGAATATGCTTTTCCAGATGGGTGGCAGGCTACAGGCACAGAACGGGCTGATGAGCTCCGTCAGGAAGAACGGGATCCAACACAGCGCAAAGACGCCGATCAAGATCCCCACCATCACGGCCGCTCGCTTCTCCTTCTGCTCCCGCCATGAGTCTCCGCTTGTCTGGAAGGTCACTGTGGCCCTGCACCGTGCCGTGAATACCATCTCGGCCTCCTGAGGTGCCTCCTTTGCCTTAGAACAAAGGAAATATGGAATTAGAGTAACAGAACAAGGGGAAAAGCTGAACAGGAAAAAATGTTAGCTATTCTCAGCTCTGTCACAGAAGTGAGGTCACAAGGCTCAGATGCCATTTCCAAGGCAGAAACCGGTGACTACAGAGACTCACAGCTGAGAGGAATAGGGTACCCACAAACAAGCGCAGAGGGGCAAAAAATTGTAAATATGACTGACAGGGTGCCGGAAGTTCAGCACTGACATATCTGAGTTCTAAACAGACAAGAATGTGTTTGCTGTACAAGATGAGGACCTGAGTTCAATCCCCAGAACCCAGCTTAAAAATGCCAGACATGGTGGCATATGCTTATAATAGGGAGTGCTGGGGAAGTGGAGACAGGAGGTTGGCTGGGGCTCACTGACCATCCAGTCCTGCCAAACTGGTGAGTACCAGAGTCAGTGAGAGACCCTGTTTCAAAATAACAAGGTGAAGGGGGCTAGGGAGATGGCTCAGCAGTTCAGACCCCTAGTCGTACAATCATGAGGACTGTAGTTTGGATCCCAATATCCTTTGTATGCCTACAGCCTCAGATCTGGAAGTGGGGAGGAGGAAGGCAGAAGGATTGTCGAGCTTTCTGACTTCCAGCCTAGCTGAGAAAATATGAGCCCTATGTTCAGGGAGAGACCCTGCCTCAAAGCAATAGGCAGAGGGTGATAGAGGAGGACACCTGATGTCCTCATCTTGCTTCTTCACACAGGCATAGGTATACAGAGACACATACACAAACACATGCATTTTAAGAAACATGGTGGAAAGTAACTAAGGAAGATACCTAACATCAACCTTTGGCCTCCTCACATACATCAGCACACACACTAACACAAACGCCACAGGAGAACTCACTCAGGAAAGGAAGTGGGCAGTGAAAGTATACACTTCAAAAAGTTTGTAACTTCAGAAATCCTGCCCTGTCCTTTAAGCAAATAGTGTGTGGGGATCGTTTTGTGCTTACTGCAGGTGACAGGGAGATCTGTTTTGAAACCCATCAGATCATTTTATTGTTCTGAACAAGGCTTAGCATCAAAAGAAATTAGTTAACCAGATTCTAATCTACCTTGGAGAAGGTAAACATTAAAGTTAAACACCCTTTAACCTTCAGGTCCCACCTGAGGATGAGATAAGCAAGCATGTGTCCAGGGCACTGGCCCTCAACGAGTCTAATGGGGATCTGGAGACTGAACTCAGATCCTCGTGCTTGCACGCTGTCCCAGTTTGCTTTTGAGTAAAACATTCTTCCCAAAAGCAACTTGAGGAAGAAAGGATGTGTTCAGCTTACACCTCCAGGCTAAGTGTCAGTCCTTAGGAAAGTCAGGGTGGGAACACAACAGGAAGTGAAATAGAACCATGGAAGAATGAAGCTTACTGATACAGCCCAGGCCCACTTGCCTAGGGACAGTGTTGCTCACAGTGGTCTGGAACCTCCAACCTCCAATGTCAATCACCCATTGAGACAGTCTCTCACAGGAGTGAGCTCAGACCAACAAGACTAAGGCATTTCTTTATATGAGGTTCCATCTTCTCAGGTGACTCTAGGTTTGTGCCCAGTTGACACAAAAAGTAACCAGCACATAACAGCAAACACTTTGCCCATCTAGCCATCCCCCAGCCCTGGATGATCCTTTCAACAAGCACGGGACCTGTAGTGATGTCCCCTTTTTCATTTCTGATACTCATTACTGACATTTTTCCTTAGCCTGTCTTGAGTTTTACTTTTTAATTGATCACTTTAAAGAACCAGCTTTTGGATTCATTGATTTTCTCCACTGATTTCCACTTCTCATCATTCATTTTTACCTCTTTTTTTTTAATTTCTATTCTGACTCTTGAGGGTTTATTCTTCCCATTTTGCTTCCTAAGGTAGAAATTTACATAAGCAGTACTGAAGGAGAACCACAAACTTGAAGGATTAGCATTACTCAACTTTAGGACAAACTAAGGGAGCTGGATCTGTGGCTCGGTGCTTAAGAGAGCTTGATGCCCTTCTAGACGACTAGAGTTCAGATACCAGTACCCATGTCACAGCTCACAGTTACCTGTAACTCCATTTACAGGGGATCTGATGCCCTCTCTGGCCTCTGTGCATATCTGCACACACCTGCACACACATACACATAGTCACACAGAGACACATCATACATATAAATAAAAATAATCTTTCTAAAAACATACTACAGGGTTGAGCAGTGGTGGAGCATGCCTTTAATCCTAATACTCAGGAGGCAGAGGCAGGTGGATCTCTGTGAGTTTGAGGCCAGCCTGGTCTACAGAGTGAGTTCCAAGACAGGCTCTAAAGCTACACAGAGAAAGTCTGTCTCGAAAAACCAAAAAAGAAAACATACTACAGTCAGGCAGTGGTAACACATGCCTTTAATCCCAGCATTTGGGAGGCAGAAGCAGGCAGTCTCTGAGTTCAAAGGTAGCCAGGTCTACAGAGTGAATTCTAGGACAGCCAGGGCTGCTGTGGAATAATCCTCCTGTACACTGTATGAATATATGTCACTGTGATTGGTTTAATAAACAAGCTGAAAAACCAATAGCTAAACAGTATAAAGTTAGGTGGGAAAGCCAAACTGAGAGTGATGGGATGAGGAAGGGTAGAGTCAGAGGAGTTGCCAGCCAGATGGAGAATGAGTCTGATATACAAAATGGGATGGAAGTAAAAGCCACGAGCCTCAGGGCAGCACATAGATTAATATAAACAGGTTAAGTTTTAAGAGCTAGTTAGTAACAAGCCTGAGCTATTGGCTGGGCATTTATAAGTAATCTTAAGTCTCCATGTTGGTTATTGGAGAGCAGCTATGGCACAGGAGAATTCCACCTACACAGGGCGTTACAGAGAAACCCTGTCTCAAAAAATCCAAAACAAAAAACAAAAACTGTAACAACAAACAAGTACTCTACAGTTTTAGTAATCAAGAGTATGTTGTGTTGGCAAAAGAACATATAAATACAGTGGATCAATGGAACATGAAGAGCTCAATAGTAAATGTTGTTGGTTGTTTTTTTATTGTAGCTCCATGTTGGAACACCATAGTGTAGTTGGTTGTTTCTGCTCTTTTGGGGGAACCACCACCCAGCTCTCAAGTAATTCATGTAAAGAGGCTTATTCTTAATTATAAATGTCCTGCCTTAGCTTGGCTTGTTTCTTGCCAGCTTATAATGGCTTGTTTCTTAACCTAAATTATCCTGTCTACCTTTTTCTTGTGGGCTTTTACCTTTTCTTACTTCTGTATACCTTACTTTCACTCTTACTCTGTGGCTGGCTAGGTAGCTGGCCCCTAGCATTCTCCTCCTTGTTCTCTTGCTCTTTCTTCCTTTTCTCCCCATATTTCTCCTTTCTATTTATTCTCTCTTCCTGCCAGTCCCGCCTATCCTTTCTCCTGCCTTGCTATTGGCCATTCAGTTCTTTATTAGACCATCAAGTGTTTTGGACAAAGTAACACAGCTTCACAGAGTTAAACAAATGCAACATAAGGGAATGCAAACATCTTTGCATCATTAAAACAAATGTTCCAGGGCATAAACTAATGTAACACATCTTAAAATAATATACTACAACAAATAAACCTACATATATGTAGTGTGTGGTGGTTAAATTGTCAACTTGATGCAATCCACAATTACTTGGGGAGAGAATTGCAATGAGAGATTGGCCTTTGGGCATTTCTGTGAGTGACTGTCTTTATTACATTAAATGACATGGGAAGACCCAGCCTACTTTAGGCAGTACCATTCCCTACGTTTGAGTCCTGGACCATGTAAGAGTAGAGAAAGTGAGCTAAACAGCAGTAAGCATGCATTCATTCATTTCTCTCTGCTCTTGGGTGTGGATGTGATGTGACCAGCTTTAAGTTTCTGTTGTCTTGATCTCCCCACTATCATGGACTGGATCCCAGAATTAAGTCTAAAATAAGCCCTTTATCCCCTAAGTTGTTTTTATCAGGGTATTTTATCAGAGGAATAGAAATGAAGTTAGGGCATATAGTCAGCCGATCTTTGGCAAGGAAGCAAAAGTAATAAAATGGATAAAAAGTGTTTTCAACAATCAAGGCTGCAACAGCTAAACATCCACTTAGACCTTACACATGCACAAAACATACTACAAATCATATCACAGTGTGAATATGAATCCCTAGGAAATACTGTAGGAGAAAATCCAGATAAGTTTGGATTCATGATGTCTTTTGAGGCACAATACCACAAGTACAATCATTAAGGAAAGAATCAACATGCTACATATCAATAAGTTAAAATTCTTTGCTCTCTGGAAAACATTGTCAAGAGGATGAAAAATCAATCCACAGTCTGAGGGGAAATAATTCCAAGAAAACAAACAACAACAACAAAAAGTCAGCAAGTTAAGTATCCTTACCTAAAATATAAAGATTCTTAAAAGTCAAGAACATGAACTGGGCCGAGGAGAGGGTTCAAGGTGTCAAGTGCTTGCCCTACATGTACAGACCCAAGGGCACATTCCCCAGAACCCACACACATGCCAGCCAGCATGGAGACCTGCCTGTAATCCCAGCTCAGGTCAGAAATGGACAGAACCCCTGGGCAAGCTGGCTAGTAAGATCGGCTGAGGGCTGGAGAGATGTCTCAGTGGTTAAGAGCACTTACTCCTCTTCCAGAGGACCTGGGTTTGATTTCCATCACCAACATCAGGGGGTTCACTGTAACTCCAGTTCCAGAGGACCTGTTACCCTCTTCTGGCTTCTTTGGGCACTGTGTACACATGTGTATACTCAACACACACACACACACACACACACACACACACACTTTAACATAATAATAATAAAAAAATGAGTGCGCCGGGCGGTGGTGGCGTACGCCTTTAATCCCAGCACTTGGGAGGCAGAGCCAGGTGGATCTCTGTGAGTTCGAGGCCAG